TTCTTTTAACGTCAGGTTCAAGGTTGGATTAATTAGAGATTTTAACGTCAGCAAGGTCGTAGGTTCCAATCTCTCATTCTCCTTTCCTTCCTTTGTGCTGATGTCTGAAGGAAGCAACAGCAAATTACAGAAAAAAATGATGACCCAAGAACAAGGTTTTATTTTGCTCGTCGTACGAGTGTGAGGGTTTTTTATTCGTTTTTTGTTTTTTTTCAAAGTTCCTTCAGCAGTAAAACATCCTTCACTGAAGATGCAGTAAAGCCAGAGCGGATGTAAATGTTTTAGAGACGAGGTTGGAATGAGATGAGAGAAAAAGTGAGTGAAAGGATCGGAGAGGAGTGAGAAAGTGACCGACGCCGACGGAGAAAGCGCTCTGTCAGCACCGACACGGAAGATTAAACGTCAGCACAAACTTAGACTAACAAGACGGCGTCTGTCTCTCTATCTGCTTCTATTTGCCTTTTCTCTCTCTGTGTCTGACTCACACACACACACACACACACACACACACACATAACCACACGAAATGTCCTCAAACGTCTCCTTGACACTGGAGCTCGTCGACAGCAGGAGGCGCCGATAAGGAGGTAGAAACAGATGAATAGTGTCACATGACCCTGGCAGTAGTCACACACACACACACACACACATCAACATGTAACTAATCTGTGGGTCAGCTGCGGAGCTACAACCGTCTCATTTCATACTCATCTCTCTGTCACACACACACACACACACGGACAGATCTCATCTTCTCAGTCAAGGTCAGACGTGTGTGTGTGTGTGTGTGTGTGTGTGTGTGGAGCGGCGCTCCTCCTCCGTGACGACGTGTTTGTGTGAAATTAGGAACAGTTTTACTGAAGACCAGGATTATTGAGTGGCAGCGTTCAATAATAGTGTAGACTAGTGGTCAAGCCTGGGAGTGCAGCTGGTCCTTTTTATCAGTCAGTGACTTGACAGTTTGATTCAAAGGGCAGTTAAAAAAAATTCATTCATTTTACAAACCAAAACACATGACATTTCTTATATATCATCCACAAAGGAACACAGAGTCAGTCGCCCCCCGACGCCCCCCCCACACACACACTGGGGTCAGGATAAACAGAGCGCTCTCTAATCAGCAGTTACACTTCATTTCCTCTCTCTCTCTGTACTTCATTTCCTCTCTCTCCTCTCTCTCTCAGACCTTTACATTCGCAGCGTTGGAGAAAACAAACAACTTATTAAATGTGTGAATCGTCCGGCGGCTCCACGGAGCGTTAATGAAGGTGTGAACGAGCCTGGTGGTAAACATGGGGAACTGCAGCAACAGAACTGAACGGCACGTGTGACTGTTACATCCTCGTTTGGTTTGTTTTTTTTTAGTAAATGTTACGTCTGATTGGAGTAGACTTCAAACAGAGCGAATGTTAAATATTTGACAAAATGTCGATCAAAAACACAAATGACTAAGTATTACTTCAAGTATTAGCGGTAGAGTACGTGTACAGAGCCTGGAGGTGGAACCTCGGCAGGATCGGCATCATCTCCTAATTTTGCCCTTTACAAACTGATGAAAGTTGAAAGTGAAATAATCCAGTATGAATGGTGACCTGGAGGAGATGAGCACGTGACCAGAATGTCTGCACCGCCCTCTAGTCCCCGGAGTACTCGCTGTACTCACAGACATTAGTGATATTTTCTCCTTACAACATTTTCCATCATTTTCCCTCCGAGCTGTTTTTTTTTTTTTTTTTTCCAGGTCCTTCTTTTCGTTACATTTCAAAACGCCCCTTGAACAGAGGCTTGACCTTGAAATCATCTCCATTTCATCTCCTCTCAGGCTGAAAATACATCATTTTTTTGTTTAATGTTTTCTGCTGAAGGGCAGACAAGGTGACGTGTCTGTTAATTGACAGGAGAAAACCCTGGGATATGTTGGGCATTTAAATGAAAAATCAAGTGGAAGCACCGACTCTGGCTGCGGCGCTGTCTCAAATTAAATGGTAATAACATGTTGGGCCGCCGCGGTCGGGGGGGCAACTCTCCGGGGCTTCTGTCAGACTGTAAATTGAATAAACTGAGAGGGAGATATTTGGTGTTTAAACCTTCCAGGCACAAGTGGTGCAGAGAATAAATACATTTCTAACATTATATTTTTTTCGCTCGTTGAACCCATTGAAGTTGAGTCGGTTGAATCGTATTTTTTTTTTTTGTTTTTTTTTGCTGTAGTAGGGACACGTGATGCTCAGTGTTTGCTGTTCTCGCAGGAATTGAAGAAAGACACGTACGAAGATCTTCTTTAACAGATCTTTTATTTTTTAGTTCTGCTGCCACCTAGTGGGGGCGTATTTTACTGTTCCACCTGGCACTGTCACACAGCAGATGAAGACCAGTTATTTATTGTCAGTACATAATAATTCTCAGACCAATAAAGACAAGTTTCCCAGATCGTAAACTTCAT